GCAAGCGACTCTTAAGAGTCCTCGAGACGAGCTGCCTCTGCAGCTTGAGCATTATATTGGGCCTCCCAGAAAAAAATAAGTCAGGCGATATTTTCTCGGAACTGTGTAGCTGACTCTTTGGGCCACACTCCTTAAATAACCTTTCTGACTCGTTCAGAAATGCCAGCAAGACAGTTAATGTATTCCTCATTTGGCACTCAGCCTTTACTTACGGGTAAGCTATTGGGAATACGCCGGAGCACTGCTCAAAAGTCGGTAGAATACAGTGGCGTCGAATCGTTAATCTAATGAATGAGAGAGGTGGTTGTAGAAGCGGTCGCGACAGAAGGGCCGTCGGGTGAATGCAACCCCAGACATGACGATCTGTGTCGATAAATCGGTAGAGATTGACTCAGTCTTGTCTCCAGCGACGAAGACTAAACACCGAAGGTTTGAGGATAACCTTAATGGGTTGACTAACTGTGTTGAACCTGGTCTTGAGCTGACCTTTTATTTGACACCCCCAGATGGGCAGCGGTGCTGTAATACGAGCAGTATCACTGAACGCATGAAACAGGCGGTGAAGCTGCCTAACTCACTTCAATCTTCTGCCTTAGATGGCCAAGATATGCTGGTGATTATATCATGGGCTCGTGGACAACGGTAATCCTCCCCAAAATCCCCCATAGCCTTACATTCTGTAGGTCATCAAAAGTGGACGCTAGTAGGGAGACGCGTTCGGCGTGGACAGGTGCAAATTGGACACAATCCAAACCGCATATCGCTGTTATTGGAATCTAGTCAATGGTGTGATCGAACTAAATTAGTCGATACAGAACGACTGGAAAATATTTTTTGTGGGCACGAAATCAGGCAATTTTTTAGACATAACAAGCCTCCCTTATAACAATGATACTTTGTGGTTTGCCGTCTTCTTCCATTATTAAATATAAAAAATTACAACGGACGAACTCGACTACAACGGCAAATACAACAAATCGAACGATCAACAGTTGTTGGTTGCAATGTTACAATTTGAAGTATGGGGCGCAAAGTTAACACATGTGGTGCAACTACGCCTGGCTCAGGACCTTGCCTAGATTATCTGACGCGAACATCACGTACCTGGTGAAGCACCTTGATGATGGCAGTGAAAAAGATCTTCATGACAATTTTAATAGAACTTAGGAAGCAACAGGTCACGTAATTTATTTTTTCTACTTAAAGAAGTAAAATTTTAGGCCTGCGTGAACGAAGGCATGGTCTGGCCGAGAAGGGCTGTAACCCTAATAGCAATGTTCCGGAACCAAAGGATAGAATGGTTCCAGTGGGACC